TACAAAATTATTGGTTTCTGTATGAGAATGAAAGGCCTGTGGAAGAAAGGTTATTCAATGTAAATTGCAACTGTTTGATAGGAATAAGTGATTAGCTTGCTCTCAAAATTAACGTTTGTACTGACTTCGACCATGATAATCTATTTGAATTTATTTTTTTAAATGCAATACGTTTGAAATATTCAGTATGTTTTAGTTTACCGCATTACGAGATACATCATTTCAGTTTTGTTGAAGTTAACTCTTAAGCCGTACGTCTTACGAAATATGCCACTTCATCAAATTTCATGAAAACAAATGCAGCACCTTAAAGCAGAATTCATGAGCATTATAATTCTAGAAAGTCATCGCCTACACAAATACCCCTTCCTTCATGCCGTTATTAACTCATCTTCAAGTTGATTAATAAACATGGAGAACAAAAGAAGACTTATTATATAACCCTGTGTGACACCACTTAAGCAATCGAAACATCCTGCAATGCTAATGCTAGATAATTCCACATCTGCTATAGTCTTGGAGTCGATATCACGAACAATGTTTAACATTCTACCATGAATACTTTGCTTTGATAGGGCATACCTTATAAGGTCCCTAGATCGATTGGTAGAATTACAAGCTTTGTGAAAGTCCACACATATACAACAGAATCTACCCTTAGAGTTTGATGAATATTTTTTGAATCAGTGGAGTCTGGGAACTGTTGAGTATCTTTTACGAAAACCTTGCTCACGCTATGGGTATCTATTATATAATTCTAATAATTCTTTAGTCTGTTTTTAAGAATATATAGAATTTACCAGAAATGTCCATTAAAGAAACACCTCTGTAACATTTTTTCAGGTTGTCTTTCAGATTTCAACTTTTCAATCGTCAAATTTCTTTTCATGTCGAGTAATATTCCAACGGCTCCAACCTTTGGTGTTTACATTTCACAACGTTTGAGGTACAATCGAGCGTGCTCTTTTTACCAATATTTGAAAGTTGCTCGCTCAAAGTTGTTTGAAGTATACAGCATTCAAGGCATCAGTAAAGCTTTCAAAATGGTTTATGGTAGATATGTGTGTGATATTTCATTTATTCCACGTCAGTGACAAAGATGCAGTTCCCTATTTTGACCATACGTGCCCATTCATTTTTCAGATGAACAGTTGACTTGCCTCTGCATGTTTTTTATGACGTATGGGTGAGTGAGTAAGTGAGTCTAATTTTACGCCGCTGTTAGCAATATTCAAGCAATATCACGGCGGGTGTTACCAGAAATGGGCTTCACACATTGTACCCGTGTGGGGAATCGAACCCGAGTCTTCGGCGTGACGAGCGAGCGCTTTAACCACTAGGCTACTCCACCGCCCCTTATGACGTGGTATGACATCGGTGGGGCAGGATACACATTTTCGCGAATACCTGGTACCATCACTATCTGATAAGGATTCATAACCACATGCTCTGTCACAGTATCTCATGGTGTCACTCACTGGATTGTCTGGTCCACACTCGTCTGTTTACAAACCGCGTCGTACAGGAGTAATACTACTGAATACGGCGCCAAACAAACACGTAATCATTATATAGTCAGAATTGCTTTTCACAGAGATTTCTTTCGGATGTGGAAAAGGGTTTTGTCGTTTCCCTGGCTTTGGCGACCGATTTTTGTCTAGCGCTGATGTTAAAAACCAGATACTAATTAGTGCCTGGCTCTGGTGTTGTTTATCAGAGACCGACTATTCTGCGGAGCTGACAGTATGATATAAAGCATCTGGAGTTTACTTTTATATATCCACTCTCTAGTCAGAAGCATTTCAGGGGACAAATATTTTTCAATAAGATCATTTTACGAATCGATATGCAAATAGCCGCGTCATTGGTTTCAGGAAATTAAGTGCGACATCAGATTGACGAGAGGATGTCAAGACAAAAACTTTTAAAACTGAATTAATGTAGTATCGTCTTTCCAGTGATACCCGATGAGGATGTATGCATTTTATAATTGATGTTTAGTACGTAGATCCTGACATCGCGTTTATACTTTCACCAGAAAATGATATCTGTAACATAATAGGATTGTAATAGTGGGTGTTTTGAACAGCTGTTCAGTAGAAGGAAGGACTATTTAAAATAACGTACATAGAGATTAGTATTAACCTACCCATACGTGGACCACGTGGGTAATAAATCGGTATAGGTTATCTCTGCGTATCCATTGAAACACATTGTGTTCATCTATTTATTAAAATGTATAGGCTTCTGCAACCAGATCCACGATATTGTATTGACTGAATTTGCAGTTTAAAAATATTGCTGCGTACCTGAAGATTTGAGCAGGCGTCGTTATGCTTTTATCGTCTCTACACTGCAGCTATTTACAACAGCTTGGTTTTGTTAAGTCGCCTGATTTAATGAAACACCTGCATTGTATCAAATTTGCACATTCCAGCTATGCTTCGTAGTGGTCGATGCCGACCCTTGCAGTACAAAGTTGCGTCCCTTTGCTTTATCAAGATCCGTTGCTGATCCATAGATCAGACTAGGATTCTGGGTCTGAACCATGCAGTGAATGTTGACGTCACCTATTGAATTCTTCTGTGGTCATAGCTACAAAAAGCGTAGAAAGCCTCCCCCACAAAGTTAGCTTCACACGCTGAAGACCCGGGTTCGATTTCCCACATGGGTACAATTTGTGAAGCCCATTTCTGGTGTCCCCCGCCGTGATATTGCTGGAATATTGCTAAAAACGGCGTCAAACCATACTCAGTCAGTCAGTCAGTTAGCTTCACGTAAATAATTTATAAACTGCCGGACAAAAGTAAGTACACGCTTGAAATCTGGACTTGACCCAAAAATACGTTATTATCAAAACGTTACTAGGCTAGAAAACACTGACTGAAACACTGAAAACTTGACACTTCAATCAGAATCATCACCTTCAAATAACCAGGCTGCATTTGTGCATATTTTCAGCCACCATTAAACATGGGCGTATACTTTCTTTTGTCCGTAGTTTACTACAACATGTACCAGAATTACCAGCACTACTGCGGGGGACGCGGGGGACGCGGGGGACGCGGTGGGTGAGCTGACTAAGGTGCCAGGCTAGTGATCCAGCGAGGTTGAGGTGTCGGGATCGAGCCCACCCGTAACCGGGTGTAAAAACCTTGGATTCAACATTGTGTGCACTATTTCCGTGTTGTCACAACCCCTAGTGTACAGTACACAACCCTGTGGACTTAAAAGAACCCACGAATCCGTTGGCATATGACCAGATGGTGGCCGCATGAATACGTGCAAACATCTATAGTTGCGGGTTCAGCAACGTGCAGTGAACTTGGACAAAGTATTGTGACTATGTGTCCCAGTCCAATCAGCTGTAAATGGGTACCTCGTTAGAATGAGAAAGCCACAATAACCCAGTGCGCCTAGTGGCTGCAAGAGTTGTATACTCCCCAGGGAGTTGAGATTGATAATACGATGTGCAGTTGAGATTGACATCCAATGATCGAGGGAAAAAATACCAGCGCCTTGAGCATGCATTAGTTGCGCGGATATGTGCCCTATATAAATATCCTATAATAGTAATAAACACTTTGGCCCCTTTTGGGATAGGATGAACAAATTTATCTTAAGTGTCCTTGCTTGTGAGAGCCGACTAAAGGGAATCGATCGGTCACGCTTTCTGTCCCGGATGTGTCTTGTCGAGAATATGTGCTGTCCGCCGTTTTATAATGGAAAGTCACTGCGTCATTAAACAACACTCACTCCCCCATTTCATCTTGAGATCCTGGTCCTAGATTTTCGGAACTCTCTCAGCGCTAAGATAATCGTAAGTGCCATGCATTAACATTAACGTACGACTATCTTAGCGCTAAGATAGCTCCGAAAATCTAGGCTCAAGTATGATCAATCACACAATACATTCGACTATTCACACAGACAATGACTGATGATCATCATTAAAAAATCATCACAAACATTTATGTTATGATTGAATGTAGTTTTAATCAGTTTCATATGAAATCACTAAACGATGGTGAGACCCTATTCCGCATGTACCCGTGAATGTCCGTGTTAGAATTGATCTTCAGTAACCCATGCTTGTAGAAAGAGGCGACTAAGGGGATCGGTTGGTCAGTCTCGCAGACTTGTTGACACATGTCATCGTATCCCAAATGCGTAGATCGATGCTCATGGTATTGATCACTGGATTATCTGGTCCAGACGTGGTTATTTACAGACCGAAGCCATATAGTTGGAATATTGTTGAGTGCGGCGTAAAACTAGACTCACTCACTCACTCACTCTACCGTATGAACAGCAGCCTTAACTGTGCAGTACGCAGATGTTAATCATGGCATTCAGGTCAATATACTCCATTGATACTGATGATAATTTCCGGTAATCAACAATTATATGTTCTGTATAGGCAGTGAGTATGTCATTATAAGTGGAAAGAGGTCTTTTAAAAGTCATAAAGATGACGAGTATGACATCAGTTGAACGCTGATAAGCTCAGCCAGATTTTTCCAAATAGCACCAAATGTTTGCAAAATACATTTTGCCTATATTGTATTTATTTTTTTCTTTGTTTACCGGTATTGTAATAGGAATGAAGCACATATTCTTACAACTGTTCAGCTACTGTTGTCTTTAACACCTACTTCGTTAGTGAAAACAAAGGTTTCGGTTATTCGGTTATCTGAATACGTCATGGTCACTGGCAGATTCTTCTTTGTAGTCATACATGTGTGAACATCTTGTCCTCCTTGAGTAATTATTGAACAATTATTATAAGCGTACACAACTGTTATATGATGAATGGAAGTGAACACAAGCTTTCTGTGAGAGTCGAACACATCTACCACTGGACCCCTGTTGACATGGGGACATAACAGAACACTTCTAAAGTCGATATACCTGCTGAGTATCGACATGACTCGCTCAGCTGAAGTAGGCTGTGTGAGTCAATTCTCACCAAGGGGAGCTTAGGTCCCATTAAAACATTCTAACCAAACCTAGAGTTATGGCCCGCCCTGTAGAGTGTACACCATTCGACGAGATAAAGAATGTGTGTGTTCATTCACATGAAGACAACTGTGACTGAATTATGATTCAAAATATGTTTCAACCACACAGAAACACAAAAATATTTTTTCATAAAAAACGGTAACGAATACGATGATGATGATGATGATGATGATGATGATGATGATGATAGTTATGGAATAATCAAGATTCATGATTTCAAAACAATCCGAATAATGCCATCATATATATATATTCTGTAAATCCTTTAATTACTGGTTCGTGGGACATCAGTGTAATGATAATGTTCTACAAACAAATGAGCTTGACAAAAAGTCTCTCACAAAACCTGGTAATGAGTAAAATATAAATATCAGCCCTGACACCGGCAAGTATGTTGCTGTAAAATATCAAAACATAAAATGGCAAATATTCAAAAGGAAGTAATGTCAAGGTGCCAACCCTTAAAATAGAGCCGCACATTAATCACGTATAGGACAGTGGTCCTCTCCATAATGACACCATTTAAATCAAATTAAATATTTTGAATAATTCGACACGGAAACGATGATTAATCCGCAGTTAACTATTAACATAAGAATAAAAATAATTAAGAAAGTTCAATGCAAAATGTATACATGAGATTCTTAACAATATTAAAATTTGAATCAAACCATTTACACTTATACAGCCAGCCCTGTCATTATTCCAAACCCACGATAACAAACGAGAGACCCCACTGAGCTGACACAGAAACCTGTCAATTGTTTCTGAGTCAGCGCTGCCAGTGATTGAGGAGGATTCGCTGTCTTTGTTACATGGGCTATTATCTCTTGTAATAGGGGGCGTATGTTAAATAGATAATGCTATCTATTTTTATCTGGCTACACGTCTTTGAACTTAATGCGATTAATGTCACAACTACGAAGCATAATTAACGAAACACGGCGGTTCCGATCAGGGATATCATACATAATATACACACTTCCAGATTTTAATAATTAGATATATACAGCTACGTGTTTTGTGGAAGATGGTTTATAAATACTCTCGGGGAGTGCCAACAGGAATCGTGAAAGCGTTTCAAGTCGACAAGTCAATCAATGTATGTTTGCTCCGGGTTTTATCGCTGGACTGATCATATTCGTTAAATATACATGTTTAAGTTGTTGGTCAAAAAACAAAACAAAAAAATACAAACAACTTGTATATTTGTACAAGAGGGTCAATCGTCATGTTGTAGGATCATTATATTTCAAATACCACCACATGATCACTTCAGGAAATCGACATAATAAGGAAATTCATTTTATCCCCATCAACATGTGATCAGAATATTCATGAAATCGACAACACAATGTTATCATGTTTACAACTATTTCACTTTGAGATCACCATATTTCATGAAATCGACATTATATGGCTCTAATATACAAAATGTCATTCTTACCAGCAATATCACCATCAGATCACAATATTCACGACACAGACATATATATGCATCTGTGAGCTTGGTAATTACCTTTTTGAAATTATATTACTATGGGGAGATAGCTATATTAACATGGCATCAATCAATCAGTTTCACTTTACGAATAATTATTGTGTTCGAGAAAATTATATTTCTTGAAATGTACATTGTAAAGTCGTGAAATATAATATTATCGCCAAAGATCGAACAAGGTCTAATGATCAGCCATCACTAGTGCACCTCTCTGGCAAATGCACGGACGTTCCTGAGGTAGCAGTCCGAAATCTGAATAGACGTTATTATGCACAACACCACACTGTAGAGCATCCGTTCATGCACATCAATCAAACGGCAAGAATAACACATATCACAGAAAACATGACTGGAGATAAATCTCACATAATATCATGTAATTAATACAACTGTCGTCACAATCCGTGACACTCTTTGTCCATCAGTATCTTCCACAAAACGGCTCCGGGTATGGCCATCTTGTTTTTTAACAGCCGTAATCACATCACCAATATGTCTTTTGAGTGAATGGTCCAGAGAATATTTACAACTACCACCCTGAGGCTGCAGTGATGCGGATTGCATTCACATCTAAGATACTGATAAAACAAATAGCAACATGATTGTTCTCTGCTCATCCTGGCCAATCACGTGCTTACACGTGGTATAGATCTCCGTGCTGACATGGGCGGGGTGTAGTCTGGTGGGGGGATGGGAGGGGTAGTTGTGTATGGAGACATGCCATTGGGGGTCACCCTCTTGGGGAAGCCGTTCATGGCTGGTTTGTCGTAGTCGGGAGGTGGTTCCGGTGGCGGTGACCCAATGCTTACCTGAAAGGTATACAAGTATATAAATACTATTCAATGTATCGCTCGAGATGTGTTATATAACATTATGTCAACTTATGAAACGCCAATCCTTACACTGGTGCTGGAGCATAACCACTTCAGCAAAACCCATAGGCACAGTCATGGTGCTGACAAACCGATGATCACAATCAGCGGATCCTGACTGCAGAAGGCGAAGTTACTCTTCTGACAAGTAAATTTGATACCAGACAGCTTATATTTCAGCTATTGAATTTAATGGTTGATAAACTTTTCAGCCGAATCCACTAATCGGCTTACCCATTAACCGAGTCAATCCGGCCTGAAGATATTTTCTGGTGTCATCAAAGTGTTTCAGTGATCCATGTAATTTTCACCTCCATTTAGCCTCTTACTACTTGGTCTGGCCTTGGTGTTTTAAACTCAAATGTCAACTGGTATTCATGACATTCACCCTACTGTACCGGACACAGAACATACTTTGTATAAATGTATACTACGTATAAATTGACTCACTGCGCTTTGGTTGGCATATCCGGATTTGAACGCAGGGTCCACCTCTGCTTCATTCGGATGGTAGTCGTGGTCAGCAGAAAGATAGGGACTTGGCCCTATCCAGCTGAGTACGACGGGGAGGTAGATCAATCCATGGAACAGCCCGAAACATACAACAAGGAGGAACACCTGCGGTGAGAGAATAACAGTACGTGTACGGTTTTCGGATATGATAAAACGGTTTCTGTTACAGATCAACTTCTTCAAAGACATATTCTGGGTTTCAGTGATGAAGCCAGTAGTATGAAGTATCGGTAGCTGTACGAACCTTGAAGAACGTCGTGAAGACGTAGCTGTTGCTGGCCACAAGTAGAATGAAGGCGAGAAAGGTGCTGAAGCCGCCGTTAAACACTGGCGGGCCCATCTCGTTGAGTGTCTCCATCATCCGCTCTGAAACAGACACCATGGGTCACAGTGAGTACAAGATGACCGTACGTACACAAGTTGTCAAGAAGTGATGTCTTCCTTTGTCTGTTTCCCCAGATTGACATGAAGTGATGTCTTACCTTGTCTGTTTCCCCAGATTAACATGAAGTGATGTCTTACCTTGTTTGTTTCCCCTGATTGTCATGAAGTGATGTCTTACCTTGTTTGCTTCCCCTGATTGACATGAAGTGATGTCTTACCTTGTCTGTTTCCCCTGATTGTCTCAAAGTGATGTCTTACCTTGTCTGTTTCCCCAGATTGTCATGAAGTGATGTCTTACCTTGTCTGTTTCCCCAGATTGACATGAAGTGATGTCTTACCTTGTCTGTTTCCCCAGATTGACATGAAGTGATGTCTTACCTTGTCTGTTTCCCCTGATTATCTCAAAGCGATGTCTTACCTTGTCTGTTTCCCCTGATTATCTCAAAGCGATGTCTTACCTTGTCTGTTTCCCCTGATTGTCATGAATTGATGTCTCACCGTGACTGTTTCCCCTGATTGTCATGAAATGATGTCTTACCTTGTCTGTTTCCCCAGATTGTCATGAAGTGATGTCTTACCGTGTCTGTTTCCCCTGATTGTCATGAAGTGATGTCTTACCGTGTCTGTTTCCCCAGATTGTCATGAAGTGATGTCTTACCTTGTCTGTATCCCCTGATTGTCATGAAGTGATGTCATACCTTGTCTGTTTCCCCTGATTGTCATGAAGTGATGTCTTACCTTGTCTGTTTCCCTGATTGTCATGAAGTGATGTCTCACCTTGTCTGTTTCCCCTGATTGACATGAAGTGATGTCTTACCTTGTCTGTTTCCCCAGATTGTCATGAAGTGATGTCTTACCTTGTCTGTTTCCCCAGATTGACATGAAGTGATGTCTTACCTTGTCTGTTTCCCCAGATTGACATGAAGTGATGTCTGACCTTGTCTGTTTCCCCTGATTGTCTCAAAGCAATGTCTTACCTTGTCTGTTTCCCCTGATTGTCATGAATTGATGTCTCACCGTGTCTGTTTCCCCTGATTGTCATGAAGTGATGTCTTATCTTGTCTGTTTCCCCAGATTGTCATGGAGTGATGTCTTACCGTGTCTGTTTCCCCTGATTGTCATGAATTGATGTCTCACCGTGTCTGTTTCCCCTGATTGTCATGAAGTGATGTCTTACCTTGTCTGTTTCCCCTGATTGTCATGAAGTGATGTCTTACCTTGTCTGTTTCCCCAGATTGTCATGAAGTGATGTCTTACCGTGTCTGTTTCCCCTGATTGTCATGAATTGATGCCTTACCGTGTCTGTTTCCCCTGATTGTCATGAAGTGATGTCTTACCTTGTCTGTTTCCCCTGATTGACATGAAGTGATGTCTTACCTTGTCTGTTTCCCCAGATTGACATGAAGTGATGTCTTACCTTGTTTGGTTCCCCAAATTGACATGAAGTGATGTCTTACCTTGTTTGTTTCCCCAAATTGACATGAAGTGATGCTTGACCTTGTCTGTTTCCCCAAATTGACATGAAGTGATGTCTTACCTTGTCTGTTTCCCCTGATTGTCTCAAAGTGATGTCTTACCATGTCTGTTTCCCCTGATTGTCTCAAAGTGATGTCTTACCGTGTCTGTTTCCCCTGATTGTCATGAATTGATGACCTATGTGAGCGGAGTAGTCTACAGCAAGACCGATAGCCAGGATGAGGATGATGCTTGTCACAGTGTCTATGGTGAGTCCCCAGAAGTACATGCAGCCGCCGACATTCACCTGAAAAGCAAAGGTGGGAGAATATGACATCAATCTGTGCAGTGGGATAATTCACGCTTGAAATGGGAATACCTTCAATTAGAGATTTACAGCCTTGACGAAGTCAATTGCAGAGTGACCTCAAATCTTTTTCACCACAGTGACGGTGACGGAAGTAAAGACAAGGTTTTTGTACTCACCAGAGTGAAAGTGACACAGGTAAACACGAGTTTTGTACTCACCAGAGTGAAGGTGACACAGGTAAACACGAGTTTTGTACTCACCAGAGTGAAGGTGACACAGGTAAACACGAGTTTTGTACTCACCAGAGTGAAGGTGACGCAGGTAAAGACGAGGATGCTGGTGAGGAAGTTAGCAATGAGGATGAGGGTAACGACAAACACACAGGCAAAAGCCAGCCCCAAGTTCCTGTACAGCTCCAGCTGGATGACCTGGGGGAGATGAGAACAAAAACATTTACACAAGGCCACTGGTCTCAGGCTACTGAGAATCTATAGGGACTCCACATACACCCCAAACACTTTGTTATGTGGCAGCTGTCTGAAATGTGACGTGTACTAGTTGGATACTATTAAGGGTGACACCACTTGATACAGTACTGGGGTCGGCTACACAAAGAAATTTTATCGCTATGATCGTAACTGTTATACTTTAACACAGACTGACGCCAGGCGTAACACTAAGATTTCTTTGTAGAATGGTGCCGGGCTTTATAACTTTTAAGGATTATCTCAAAGTTGGGACTAGAGAATTAGAACTAGGCCGAAATGATTAACATTCCCACGTGTGGGGCAAAGATCCTGGGTGTTCAGCAACACAATTTAACAACAGGAACTAGACCATTGCGCAGTCTCTGATGGTCAGAACTGACGTAATGTTCATTGCAGGATGTCCGTCCAAGGGCTCTGTGGAAGCATACTTGACACTATGAGTTTGACAAACCAGGGACAGATATTATGAACATCATTTCATGTCATCAGGATACCTTAACTCACAATAGTCCAAATCGCCAGAACATCCGACCCAATAATCGCTTAATCAGTACCAGGAGGCCGATTCCAACCACGCAAAAGGTTCAACAGTAAAGTTATTACATTAATGATATTTATATTACATACAAATAAGATGGTTTTGTGATTTTGTGTTTTCTGGCATATTAGCTAACCTTGTTGGTCTCCCATCCCTGGTATCTCCTGGAGTAGGGGAAGCAGGTGGGAAGTATGCTGGATATGACTTCCCTGATGGTGTCCATGGCCTTCACCTCGGACTGGGAGTCGGGGAAGTCAACGTGCTGGAAAGCAATCCGCGTTGCCTGCAGAAAAAAAGATAACAATATTGATATAGTGTGTCAGTCTCTAAACGTGGTTTCACAGTATTTCAGTCAAATATCACATCCTGTCAGTGTCATGCGGAGGACCGTTCGAAATTAAGCAGGGCTTAGATTTTGTGTTGCGTACAAATCAAGAAACATTTTCAGGACGAAACGGGATCTAACCCATGACCATAGGTTTCCGGCACGCCTTGTGCAATAAACTCACGAAATGTGATGTCTTAGACCATCGTGCCACTTTGGTTACCTATCAGGCTAATCGTGGCAGCCAGGGGCCCGTTTCACAAAGCTCTCGTAAGATCTCGTAACATTTCTCGTAACATTCGTACCTCCTAGACTGTAACATAGGAGGTACGAATGCTACGAGAAAGTTTACGAGATCTTAGGCCTACGAGAGCTTTGTGAAACGGGGCCCTGATAACCACTAGTGGCTAAGAGTCCTTTCGCTGGATGTCCTGAGAAAGGTGTGTGAAGGAAAACCTGTTTAACAGGCGACATCCCCCCTCCACTCCCCTACTGATCTCACTCACACACACACACACACACACACACACACACAAGTTTGTAGGATTCCTCAATGTTCTAACAAACAAATGACATACCTCAATATCGGAAGCTACTCCTGAAGCGTTCGTGAACTTGACGTCTCTCAGAACCCTGCTGTTGGCTGGAAGGTGGGCCCAGTCGAATACTGACTGGATAAACGTAGCCTCATCAGTAGCGACGCCGACCCCTACAAAACATTGATGGCATTTTCTGTGTGAGTGAATAAGTTACATTGATGGCATTTACTGTGTGAGTGAATGAGTTCAACCTTTACATCACATCGGCAGTTTCTCGGCTATATAGTGACGAGATCATATATATCTGCTACAAAAGACTCCAGAGAACGACCATTTATCCACACCAATTAGTGCGTGAAAGGGTGTAAAGAAGACGTTCAACGACAGTGAGTTAGTGAGTGAGTGACGGCAATGTAATGAAACACGAGCCACGGATGGGTGTTGGGTGTATTCATATACATATAATATTTAGTTTTTCTTTTAATGTAAGAACGGACGCTTAAAAAAATTAATTGATTGTCCTTTCCTTTTAGGGGTACAAGAATACCATAAGATTAGGATACTCTAAGTTGTATACGAATATTCATCTAGACAGCAGAGAAAGAATTTGCCGGTGGTGTCGTCGAAGATGTTTAGCGTCCACCCAAAAATATATCAATTAAAATCACAATAATTCAAAAAGGACAAAACACATTCTCTAAATGACGATAGTAATTGATCTTCAAAACGTCTTTTCATTTTTTTTTTAATGTATTTTAACTTCTTCCAAATTTCTGGTTTAATTAATATGCAGCTGGTATCCCCGTTCTCACAACCACGCCACCTTTCAGTACAGTATTACACTGATGCTATGGCACATGGCATCAATCACTAGATTGTGTAGTCCAGGGTCTAGATTTTCGAAGCTCTCTTAGAGCTAAGATAGTCGTTTGTTAATGTTAATGAATTGCATTTACGACTAGCTTAGCGCTAAGAGAGCTTCGAAAATCTAGGCTCAGACTCGATCATTTACAGGTCGCTGTCAAACACGCACGCACGCACAGCACACAGAGATACACATCTTGATGCTGATGGGGACGTGATGACCATTACATGTGTAGGGGTGTGAGCTAGATACGGCTGTTGTAATCCTTGTTGGGGTTCGTTCAGGCTATCACTCACAGGCTAACTTGCTACTCGTCATGTAAGACCAATCTGAGTACCAGCTGTCGACATTGCTGTTATATGAGACTGTGAGACATTGGGTGTATGAGCTGACCGTTTCATTACAGCTGTTGACTAAGCTCTAGACATTGACTGTTGTTGGCGTAGTAGTTCAATGTTGGCTGAAACAAAATTAATGCATAAGCTGTAGTGATTTTATATACAAGTTTCTAAGATACATTAAATCACTTCGGCAACAGGTTAACCTTCACTTCGTTCCGATCTGAGACATTGACTGTCATGTATGAGACTAAGACAATCTGAGACATTGACAGCCATGTATGAGACTAAAGACAATATGAGACACTAAGACAATCTGAGACATTGACAGCCATGTATGAGACTAAGACAATCTGAGACATTGACAGCCATGTATGAGACTAAGACAATCTGAGACATTGACAGCCATGTATGAGACTAAGACAATCTGAGACATTGACAGCCATGTATGAGACTAAGACAATCTGAGACATTGACTGTCATGTATGAGACTAAGACAATCTGAGACATTGACAGCCATGTATGAGACTAAGACAATCTGAGACATTGACAGCTGAGAGTCATGTATGAGACTAAGACAATCTGAGACATTGACAGTCATGTATGAGACTAAGACAATCTGAGACATTGACTGAGACCATGTATGAGACTAAGACTGAGAATCATGTATGAGACTAAGACATTGACATTGACAGCCATGTATGAGACTAAGACAATCTGAGACATTGACAGTCATGTATGAGACTAAGACAATGAGATTGACTAAGACAATCTGAGAGACATGTATGTGACTAAGGCAATCTGAGACATTGACAGCGCTGTATGAGACTAAGACAATCTGAGACATTGACAGCAAAGAGATAGAAACTTATGTCTCCAAACTCAAGATACATTAAATCACAATTTTATAACTGATAAATATCGGATTCAAAGAGTACAGCTTTACGTTCACAAATATTATTCCATATCAAACTTTGTCTGATGATATGGTCGACTTAAGTGTTAATTTCATGCATTGCCAACACATTAATAACATACGGCAGTAGATGTAGCCATCGGCGCCGTCGTCAGGGAAGTATTTGTCTTGGGCCTCAAAGAATTTAAAAGCGTAGCCATCTGACGGAAGGAACCAGGCTGAGTCGAAGTCCTGCTTCAGGTTGATCAAGCCGTAAATGTTGGCAGCGAATATCCCCAAGGTCATTATCAACACGACGATCTGTGAAGGGAAGGGAGACAACTGTTACCGGGATTCTGAGGCGTGTTGCTGAACTCCGATGTCAACAATACACCTAGTGTTCGGCCTCTTCAGTTCCCTAGATTACTGCCCACCTATTCTGACCCTCACTCTCCCAATGACACAATGACAAGGCCAAGAGTACGATTTCTTATATATATTATTATGATATTGGATTTTGATTGAGTGAGTGAGTGTGTGAATGATTGAGTGAGTGAGTGTGTGAATGATTGAGTGAATATTTTGTCAAACATTGTACCAAGTGAACACACACAGCAGCTGGCACTTTAACCATTAAAAGAGCTTCACTTCGGGAATTTCATAAGTTTGTAAAAACATTTAAACTTTCGAACTGAAAAATTCTCTCTCCGTATGCTTCTCACCTAAATCTGTACAATGCACAAAACTGGTATTAAGAGAAGAACAAAAAGTGGCTCGGGTTTTGGAAAACAGGAATGTTGTCCTCAGAAAATGCAACCGTTTCCCACTTACGATCTTAAATCCTTATTCAAAGTCCTATTTCTTCGAAACACAGCTAACGCATTTAGAGAGTGAGTGAGTTTGGTTAAACGCCACTTTTAGCAATATTCCAGCAATATCACGGCGGGGGACACCAGCAATGGGCTTCACACATTGTACCCATGTAGGGAATCGAACCCGGGTCTTCGGCGTGATGAGCAAACGCTTTAACCACTAAGTGATGAAGGAAGCCATAACCAAACAGACTTTCACAGTTTTCAGTTATTGCCAGTCGGAGATATAGGTGTACGCTGAAAATCCCGCAGAGCCCACCGGCAGTTTAATCCACCCGGGTAACGGATTACCACGGCTAGTAAGAGTAACATAATCTGAAATAGCTAAATGAGATTAACACTTTATCTGTACCAAAAGCACCATGCCAGATTAGCGCGCTCATATATCCCTAAGGCTTCCTCTACTTAATGTACATAAATTACATCGACAAATAACATTCTAAAAGAAAGGAAATCTTTGCTAAGAGGTCAGTGTATTGTGAGACTCCGTCATATAAGCATGTGTTTAAGAATACAACCTCATCTTCTAACCACCGATTCATATAATACCAAACATAAGAAAATGATTTGCTGGCTAACCTGGAATATCTTGATAATGTAAATAGTTTCATTATTATCTTAGGTATAATTGTACACAATGAAAGTTGTGAACAAAACACTTTTCTTCAACGTTAACAGCGTTTCAGGTCGTGCTTAGAAATACCGTTGCAAGGGAGATAACTCTGTTAGCCTTAATAACATTTCCCCGTAAGAAGCCATCTCACAGACGAGTAAGGTCAAAAACATGTAAAACTCTGTTACACAACACCTGCATCAAATTCCAACAGAAAATAAACTAAACAACATAAAAATTAGTTTCTTCCTTTTTGCATGAGATGCTATATTTATTAACAATAGAGGTAAATCTCAGGTACGCATATAACGGCATAGCAGAACATTTCTATTAAAACGATAGAAGATACAAGTACAGTTTGACTATAACATGATATTTACCTTGACGGGCAGCTTGGACAAGATCGGTCCAAGAATCTTCTTGAAGAACAGCGGGATGAGCTCAGTCTGGCTGCACTTGTTGGGATGCCAGTTCTTGTGCTTGTAGCAGCAGCAGCACGCATCTCTCATCCCGGACATCCGATGTAGGTCCACAGTGAGACAGGCGGTGAAGAACACTGTCTGCATGATGTACACCCAAGGATGCCGAACGCCGCAAATATACAGAACGAACGCAAAGCCGGAAGAATCTGGAAGCCAAAATAAAAACAACACGCGCTTCAAAACACGGTTTATTTTTAAGTTTGTTTCAATTGTTTGCAATGAAAACAATGACGTACATAATCTCCTGTTTCTTTGGGTTTTAAATCTAAATCTATCAGTTGAAAAATAAGTTGTAAGTTTTCGTTTCCATTTTTTACAATGAAAACAATGACGTACACAATCTCCTGTTTCTTTGGGTTTTAAAAAAAATGTGAAAAATCAGATGAAAATAATACGAAACCAAGTTGTAGCAATCTCCTGTCTTTGGATTTTTAAAAATTACAGTTGAAGAATTATGAAAAATGACGGACCACTTTGTGTTTTTGAATGGAGAGATAGATGAAACGTTACGCTGAAGTCACATACGTGTTACGCTTCATTGTATTGTTATATATGTAAACAACCGACCAACGGTTGATATCACGAGCACAGATTCTTTTAGTGAGTGAGTGAGTTTAGTTTTATGCCGCTTTTAGCAATATGCCCCCAATATCACGGCGGGAGACACAAGAAATGGGCTTCACACATTGTACCCATGTGGGAAATCGAACCCGGGTCTTCGGCGTGACGAGCGAACGCTTTAATCACTAGGCTACCCCACCGCCCTCACCGATTCGTTAACGTAGCTTTGGATGTGTTCACCTCCGGTATCCCCTGGATGGGATCGGGTATGGGATTATGTATTACAGTACGGCATGATACTATGGCGAGAAGTGGTACCAGTGATGCGAATATATAATACATAAGTTGTTTAGTTACATTCGTACAGTGACATCATTCATTTCATGCACATATTTTTCGGACTTTTCAAACTATGATTACAGACGTTAACATGCATAAACTCAATAAACGTACTTAAACATCAGTAATAGTGTCACCTACCGTAGACGCACCAATCGCGAAGGCGACGATGTCGGTAAGGGAGGTAACGGTGACTGAGACCCCAGCGTGTCTGAGTACCCGACCGACCTTCTCAGGGATTTCCATCTCCGTTTCTTCTGGCGTCAGGTTGTTCAGGGCTCCGATGATCACAAACATGTCATCAACACCAATACCTGTAGGTATACCAATACAATACAGGTACACAACATGTAGATACGCTCATTTAAGGACGTAATGACAATTATTACCTACGAGGGCGAAAATATCGGGGTTCATATTTTTCATACGATGCTCTAGGGCAAAATATCACTTTGTCATGGTGACCTGATGTCATGAACAATGCTTTGACGTCACGTTTCTTCTATGACATTGCGTTCTACATGCGGCGACGGTGGGAAGCCAGCCTATGTTTGAAAGCAAATTTGGGTTTATTTTCAATTTGACGACTTCGGTAATAAACAGAATTATATTCGTGTCCATATGATACTATGTTTACGACACTCGGGCCTAAATATCGGTATATCCCTCGCTCTCGCTCGGGAAATACCAACATTTAGGTACTCGTGTCGTAAACATGGTATGACATGGGCACTCATATAATATCCTCCATGTATAAGCACAGTTGCGTATCAACACAAGATAATACTTTATAACCCGTGAGGGCATTTTGTGAACATCAGAGGCATATGACATAATAAAACAGAAATCACGATACAATCAGACATACAAACATAAACAATAATGATATTTAAGACATCCAAAGCAATAGCCCATGTAGAATCCCTAACAGTTAAACTGTGAAATAGCAGACTATCAAAACTATTGACCATTCACAATGCAGGATGGGGTGTGTTTCGTTATCAGGGAAGTATCCAGTTACTGGCGTGCCTCTAAGTTTTAACTGTTGACTGATGCTCTGTTCGGCCAAAAGAAATTTAAGAAACACATACTTTTGTACATCAGTTTTTGTATTAGTATATAATTTACCATTTATGCATGACAACTTCCCAGGGCCTGCATGCTACTCTGGCTTCTTGTCGACTCCACCGCCATTTTGCTGGAATATTGCTGAGTTCGGTGTAAAACAACAGACCATATCAAGTCGAAGCCAACTCTTGCGACTGTAGTAACCGCCGGAGTTACTGACGGCCACAAGAGGGTCCGGGGAATTAATCACAGTCAAAATTGAATACACTGTATCGAGGCTTTTCATGTGAGTGAGCGAGTGAGTATGGTTTTGCGCCGCTTATAGCAATATTCCAGCAATATCAAGGCGGGGGACACCACACATTGTACCCGTGTGGAGAACTCAACCCGGGTCTTTTGCCAACACCGGCACCTGTCTAATTCGGCACACTGTCAAAACCGGCATAAAATTTTGGTCCCGCCATTTTACAACGATATTGTGATCATTAAAACATTTTCTAATCCGGCACCTGTCTTTTCCGTAGTTACCTATTGCTTTTGTCATGAAACTCTTTAGTTGTGAAGGGTAAGCGCACATGGGCGCTGCTCTTAATGGTTCAACAATAATTGTGATCAAACTGTGCAAGCGGACATTGATCTGATCGCAGAAAGCAGTCTAAACCTTTGAATTTAATTTTATTACTTACTTTAGTTGTTTATATATTTTAAATTACAACAAAAATGCATTCTCACACGTCGCAAAACCGCTGTAATGAGCAGTGATGAGTAATGGTATCTATTGTGAACAAATCTATGTGAGACATCAAGACATTGATGCTGGTAAAGGGGGGTAACCTACCCAGCAGCAGGAAGGGCAGGATGGAGTGTAGAGGACCATACTCAGCTCCGACCATGGACGCCAGGCCAAAGGACACCAGAATGGACAGTCCAACACATAGGATGCCCGCGAACGCCAAACCTATCTGTTAACACGGAAACGCACGGAAAGTGTGTAATGGATATATTCAGGAAGGGAGACTGTTATGCCTTTTGTTGAGGTAACGTGTAGCTTTATGGATGAGCGAGTGAGTTTTATTCCGATCCGATTCGAACTTTCTTTTTGACGTACGTGTCAGCTTAATGTTTACAACTGGCGCTGGTCGTACGTGTTAGTCACTATGATGAGCCCCAAATGGCGTTAATGGATCAAACAAGAGAATCTGTTTTTCGGAATCCCCGACTGGGGGCCTTAAAACTACAGGACCAAGCCCCTCTGTCTTAACATCTTACCTTTATAACCCAATACAAACTACATATTAAGGTATCTCTAAAAACGGGCCTAAGCGTGTTGAATGAGAACATTATGGAAACTGTCGATAATAGTTTTACGGTTTGTTATTTCGGGGAAAGATAAAGTATTTACCCGCTGTTCCACCAAGTTGAATCTGCCGAGGACGGTGATGACGAAGAGGATGAGGATGAAGTAACCAGCTGACAGCAGCGTGACATCACCCTGGATGGCGTTGCCGCCTTCATCACTGAAACTATAACACAGCAAATCTCTACACATCACCTTCCCATCCAGAGAAATATATAAATGCAGCTGAGGTTTTACATTCATACATTGAGACTTCTGTAACAGTCCCATCTCCTACAGTAGTATTATTCCAACATAACGGTGGAAATTAAAGGTCCGTCTAGCTGAACACTAAATATTGCTTGACATGGGCACATTTACAGCTATAGTCTGTTTGCAGTGAAAACGTACCGGTGAATTGCACATTAAACAAAAATGTAAATCGAATAAAGTGAAATTAAGATTGCGAAATCCTCATAATTCTACCTTGCCAATTGAACATTTAAATCTTAGATTTTTATTCAACTTATGAAAAAAGTTGTTCAACAAACGATCATAGTTTCAAATCGCTTATATTGGTTTGTATTACAAGGGGATAAGCGCAGTTGTTGGAACAGTGAAACAAATGCACGTGCGGTACGTGATGAGCGTTAACTTAGACCAACCCTACTTGATCTCGGTGTTTCATTTTATGTGCATACCTCCTTGTAATACAAACCAATAATACCGATTTGAAACTATGATCGTTTCTTAAACAACTTTCATCCCAAGTTGAATAAAGTTCTGAGATTTAAATTTTCAAATGACAGGTAAAATTATGAGGATTCGCAATCGTAATTTCACTTTATTTGATTTACTTTTTTGTTTAAAGTGAAATTCATCGGTACGGTTTCACCGCAAACAGACTATAGTGCTAGTGCTGAAGATAGTGAGTGAGTTACAGGTAACGCCATCCTCAACAACATGGAATTCAAATGATGCCGTATCTGCTCAGCAGAATCACGGGTGACCCACAAAGGAACGACCCACTTCGAATCCATTAGTATCAGTGCATGCTACCACTGGGCCACCCTACCCCACCTTCCTCCATATGCCTGCACCACAGTGTCAACTACGAGAGGACCAAGCCAACGTACCTTCGTGCTGTGAAGACGTACGACCCAGTCAAGCCGGCGTGGCCGTTCTTTCCTATTTCTATCAGCTGAAGTTCCCAGTCCTCTGTGTTTGCCTTTATCTGTACAAACAACGATCAAGTGTTGGAACTGCCAAACAGTTATATTATTTATTTATTTATTTTGTGAACTACTTATTAAGAAAAAAGTAAGATAGCTGAAACTCTACATTACAACTAGAAAGTATTTTACTCGTACAAACCGATGTCTCCCCCTTACCCCAATTCAACGTTGAGAGCTCAACAGAAAAAAATAATTGAAACAGAAAAAGAAAATATTAAAACAAAAGTTCAAACCCCCCAAAAGCACATCTACATGATATGGAGGGGCAGTATAGCAAATTTAGTGAACATGGGTCAATTAGTTTCAGAATTTTGCTCCGGATCCTTCAAAAAGACAAGTCCAAATTGTTGCCATGAAAACAGAGAAAAATAAAATTGATATGAACCTCAACCCCCAAAAGGCACATCTACATGATATGGAGGGGCAGTATAGCAAATTTGGTGAAGATTATTCAAGTAGTTTTAGAGATATGTTCAGGAAACAATGGGAACGCCGACGCTGACACCGACGCCGACGGAAATACAACCAAAAACAATATGTCTCCCGATCCTTCGGGGGGAAACATAATTACTACATGCAAGTAGTTAAGGACCGCCCGAATCCTTCAGATTAAGATAGGTGCATATGGGCACAGTACTGTGAAAGAATCGGGTGGTCCAGCGTCTAATTCTTTTGTGTATACTAGTATACTTGGAGTACAACATACCCTCTTATTTTATAAAATAAACTACAGTAAAGGAATTGGGGGATCCTTAGCTTCTATGGAGTGTTATGTATTGATTTCAAGAATTTTGTCATTGCAGATATTAAGCACAACTATAGGGCTTGGAGCAAGTATACATTGATGGTAGATCCTTTCACATCAGCTACGTACACTGTCATCACCAAGTAAAAAACCAGGTAGATGTCATCGCCCCCGCAGCAGTGATGTGCCCACTTCCGTTTTCAGTGCGCACGCCCAGAAGAGTCTTCACGTCAAGAGCGTTGCCGAAAACAGGGCTGAAATTAAATGGTGGCAACCGTTACGACTTTCTGAGACTAAATTGTCGAATGTCTTTTTTGATCTACCCAAAGTAATATATTCAATAATTCTTTAATTCAGGTGTACGAATTACTTTTATATAATTAAACTTTTGTATTAAGGTGTCTTTAGCAGGGATAAGGCAAAATCCATATAAATTTATGGAAATTTCACAAATACAGCCAAGTGTACAAATTGACAAGTATTTTATTCAGCTGCTGATTAGAGTATTTTCTTATTAATTCATATCACCTGAATTTGATCGTATTAACATCGTCCAAGATGTCCTGCTGAGAGAGGCCGTCAATTGTCGCTTTGTTGAATGACCAAAGGTCCAGTATACTGGACACTCGACAGTTGGCCCCGATCCTGTTATAAAAATTAAGTTAATGGGTTCAGATTTGCTTTAAACGGTACCTTCGCACCATAGTCATCTCAGTTTTATATTGATATATTAAAGTTTAAAGGATTTCCGTTTATATCTGGCCACAAGTGTGATGTTACGTTTCAAAGAGTATAATATTCGATGACACGTGTTCGATTCCCCAGGTGGGTACAATGTATGAAGCCCATTTCCGATTTCCTCGCCATGATATTGATGGAATATTTGCTTAAAGCGGTGTTAAACCTTACTCACTCACGTATTTTTTATCAAAGACGTCAAATAGTCAAAAGTTATTTCTGTTTTTCTCTGCATTTTTAATACATTTTAGCCTAACCTATGCCTATATTTTTTGTCCCCAAAATGCAATTGTTAGAATTCTTACTCCTATACATTTGACCATATATGATAGCATTTCATTGTAAAGGTAACGGTACCCCGGCTGTTGTCATTTATATCCATGGCAACGTTACAAATGTTGACTGAAGGTTACCGCGCCTACAAACGACTTACTTGAGACATACATCGGTCAACTTGTATCCATTAGCGGAGGTTGCGTTCAGAGCAGATTCATACATCGAATACACCTGCAAGTACATAGGGAAAATAATAATGCTCACTATCGATGGTGACCCCAAGGGTTTTGGAAAACATGAGGTGACATCTCAAAAACATTACCGCGTCTGTTTTCGATCTGGAAGCTTTATTCAAGTTAAGTGAGTTTAAGTGATTGATAAATAGAACTTTCTCAAGGGCAATGCGGCTTTCAGAAAAGTCAGTCGAAAGAAAACGTCACACATCGGGAAACTTAAGGGAACGTGAATCAGTAGTGTATTGAACACACATACATCGATATGTGGGGATTAAAAGTAGTTCCGGCTGCCTGACCCCATTTGCATATTTATCGTATCGACAACACAGTTAATACGCGACGAGACAATTTACCGCTTGTAACGATGCTCTTGTGAGGAGGTTGTTGCCCGTGACTATGATGGTGGCAACACGTAAGGTAGATGGAAACTGCTCCGTCGCCCATTTCCGCTGATTAATGATGTCGGCACCAATAGGTATCCAGAGCTTGTCGGGGTCGGTTGTTTCGTTGAAGCGGAGAAACCCGATGCCGACCAGCCCGCAAGCTATGGCGCAGCACAACATCACAATCCATGGCCGCTTTCCGATATTCAAACCAAGTCTGAAATCAAAAATACTCGAAATTGTAAAACAAATCATTTGAAATCACGAACTTATGTCAGGGAGAGTGGTAATAGTATTTTGTGATGCCATAAGTGAGTGAGTATGGTTTAGCGTCGCTTTGAACAATATTAAAGCAATGTCACAGCGGGGAACACCAGAACTGGGCTCCATATTGTACTCATATGGAGATCCAAACCCGGGTCTTTCATGTGACGATTGAATACTCCAACCATAAGGCCACCCCCGTCGTCCCTGTATGCGCTAAGTAGTATGACTCTGATTTGTCTATATATTCAATAAACTGGGTACGCGCTTTGTCCTTTTTCGTTCAACTTGCATTTTGTAAAATGCCTTTTGTTCGTACAGGTTCGAGCCAAGATCGAGCATCTGGACAGCGTCACCGGATTACATGAATAAACCTTACGATGTAACGAAGTCGGTTATGTCGAAATATCATCTTACACGAACCATATTCTAGTCTGGCTCGCAGTCCCTTAACCATACAGCCTAGCCCTCCCCTGCAGTGCAAAAGCCCTAAATGAAGCAATTCTAGATTTCCCCAGGTTCTGAATCTCTGGTCTTCCTGGGGTCCTTTTGAATTTAAATGGGGTTATTTGTTACGTTCAGAATTATATATATTCAGAGACTTAGCGTTAGACTAACCATATTCATATGTCCAACAGAAAGAAAAGTCCTGAGTTGAAAGAGTTATATTTATTAATTATAACGTCCCTTGCAAGCCACTGAAGCCACATATAACTATCAATAATAGTGGCTATTGTTGAAACACGTCTCAAGCTGTTAGAGAATTACAAACATTTACAAGTTAAATATCTTGAAAAAGACAAGGGCCTCGGCTATTTCAGTTCTTCAGGACAAAGCGCAGGGTTATTTTCGACTAACCAAAACACAGGCCTGAGCTTTGCTCCTTATTTTGTTGTGCAACGAAATCTCATAATTGCCGTAAAAGTGTTTACAACAACTGTCTTGCTGTGAACAGGATGTTTAATCACACGTCGCCTGGGAAACGAGTCTGGTAAGTATCATTCCTTCGTGATAAAATGAAGCAGGAAGCGGAAAGAAATCTAATGACATTGTAAATATTTTGATAAGATACTTTACTGCAGAAGGTGATTCCTGACGAAATACATTTAGCCATTATTTGATACACAGTTTCTGACTCGTTGCCATGGTAACCTTCGTAAACATTAGCGCTGATCATGATGTAGATGCACACGTCTATATGGGCTGTCCTTCCGGTAAAGAGGTTCCTGTGTTTATAGATATCTGTTCTGTCGTCAATGTCTCAGTGGTTTGTGCCGTCACTACGTACGTTCAGTCTGTTTTTGTTTTGTTCTTTATCTTCCATTAATCCTAATAACTAGCTTCGTAATTAAATTGTTATCTTTGTACATTCCCCCACCTTGCGTTGTGTAAACATCTCCTGAGCAAAAATTAGCTCTGAAATGTATAAAGAATAAAAAGAAGTTGTTATCCATAGCAACGCGTCATGTATTGTTGTTCTTTTTGTGTTTAACGCCCTCTCAACAATAGTCCAGCTACATGACGATGGTCTGATAGTCCTGTGATCAACAGCATGAGCATCGATCTACGCAATTGGCATACGATGACACGATCCCGTTAGTTGCCTCTGAAGACAAGCATGGGTTGCTGAAGACCAGTTCTAGCCGGGTTTTGGTTCAGCAATGTTAGTGAAAAGAGTCAGTGTATCCTAATTCTTCTATTTTAGTACATATAAACATAAACTCTATATTTAGTGTGGTTCAAACCGAGGGAGAGGCGTGTGTGCGTGCGTGTGTGTGCGTGCGTGTGTGCGTATGTGTGCGAGAGGGGATGGGTGGGGTTTGGGAGATAAGAGTGGGAGCTGAAATTCTGTGATAACTGAAATCAAACGGTATTTACTGATGTCACACAATATTTACTCACTCCCTTATCGTGTATTGTAACTAATGGCTTTTAGGAAGTGATTGCCATAGTGACGGTGATGGTAAGATATGACTGGTCGACACGATACTACTCCACTACCAATTAATATTCTGTGACAGCCATCGCTCTGATTTATGTCTTTGAAATACTGGCCGTTCAATGAAACCTGTCAGCGATCTTTAGAAACAGAAATATGTAGACACACCCAACGTCATATTGAGTTTGACCCCTCACGCATTACCTCACACTACATGAATCTCAACAAGTAATGAAATCATCTTTGACTCAAACACAAGTTTACAGGACAAACAGAGTGATAATGAATGTTGCCTGTTTTCAGTACAAGCTAAGACCAATGTTTTGTTTCCAGTATTATCGAGTACACGTACACTGATCCGCCCTCCCGTGTCTCCTCTACCTTGGTTTATTGCCAGCTTGAATACACAGCGGGTAGACGGGTACTCTGTATACCAGATCATCTCCACAGTAATCCAACCACCCGCTTACCGCAGATCATGCGAAACATTCCATTAACTACATGCGTGTTTGCAGTTACTCTACAGGGGTAATGAATACAACGTTTATCACCCCTTCACGACCCTCCTTCCACGTGGTATATGGACACGTGACAGTTGCCTTGATCAGATATAGAATGGCCCACAGAATAATACCTTGATAAGGAAGTTCTTGAACCGAGCAGGTCAACACGTGACACTGTTGGTTGTGTAACTTGTGTAAATGTGAGAAACACTATTGCATAGTGAAGCCAAAATATTGAGCTGCATCGGTCCTATTTTGACATTAGTTTTGGAAATAGTTTGTTGTTGTTTTTATTGCGGCATGTGTTTGGGTTTTCAGTTTGGTGACTTTATTATTTTCTATTAAAGTTATCAAAATTATTTTTATTCATTTTACAACTGTGCATATGAATATATCCCATTGCCGGTGAAATGCGTTGACGATTTCATGTAGAGCTGTTTAAATCAAGCATTATTTTACACGCCGTCAAATATCAAACTCTTCTATGACAGAGCCTCTTCTGGGTGATTTATAGCTCGGTTAAAGCTACGAATCATGTACAAACAAATATATCCAATACATTTACAATGTATGCATGAAGTTGCCATCAAGGGTCACAGCCTTGCCCGCTGACCTATATTTAAAACATTGTTGTATAAAACGTAACTCGTAAAATGAGGAACCTATGAATCGTTGATACAGTTTCTGACTAACGTACTAACCATAGAGTACCTTGCCAATACGACTACGTTAGTCAAGACGCAAATATTAGCATTTGTATAATACGGATTAACCGGGCGTTTAATAATTTCATAAGCGTATAGGTTGGGTATATATACTCATGCCAATAATGGTTGTCACCTCCCTCCCCACCCCAACCCCCCACACACACCCTCTCCAATAAAAGATATTGAAGGGGGTGACAACCATTATTGGCATGAGTATATTAACCGCTGCTTCAATTAGACCTGGTTAAGGATCCCGGAGTTCATTGGCCTCGATGTGAACCTACCATTTACAGACATTAATATCACACATCCTAGCCAGCGGTATACTAGCTTATATAACATTTGCTTAGTAAAGCACAAATTCTGACAATTCCGACAACTGCTGGTTTGGTGTACCCTCTGATAAGTGTAAACTGTCACGGATTCCATAGACGAAAGAATATCTTTGGTGCCTCTGTCTGAGGGCTAGGGTTCAATTTCCGACTGGGACATAACCCCCCAAAGTACAAACATTTTAGCTTTACAAAGTGTAACCCCAAATACGACACATGTTACATCTGACCACTTTCTACAAGGAAGTGAGTATTCATCCCTCCCATTGTGAGAAAGTATGTACAAACATGTGGTATTATCATAATAATTGATCATTATCATAATATCTAATGGTATTTTCCGAGATGTGGAGCATCAACGGTATAGCAAATTAGATTAGGCTTCGGACAGATTTACAGTGACGTCTCACTGAACGCCTTTAAATTTGGACATGGATATGGAGTGGGTTTTTTCATGGATCGAGAGGTTGCCTTGCCTTTAGTGAGTGAGTGAGTTTAGTTTTACGCCACACTCAGCAATATTCCAGCTATATGGCGGCGGTCTGTAAATAATCGAGTTTGGACCAGACAATCCAGTGATCAACAGCATGAGCATCGATCTGCGCAATTGGGAACCGATGACATGTGTCAACCAAGTCAACGAGCTTGATCATCACCACCCGATCCCGTTAGTCGACTCCTACGACAAGCATGGGCTACTGAAGGTACATTCTAACCCGGACCTTCACGGGTTCCTTACCTTTATAAGTGTTTGTGACCCATGTAACTGGTCGGGAAGGTACATTTGATACAATCATAATAATTGATCATTATCATAATATCTAGTCGTATTTTCCGAGACGTGGAGCATCAACGGTGTAATAAATTAGATTAAGCTTCGGACAAGTGGACAGGCATCTCTCACTAAACGTCTTTAACTTTGGACATGGATATGGAGTGTCTTTTATGGATCGAGAGGTTGCCTTGCCTTTGTAAGTGTTTGTGACCCTTGTAACAGGGGGTGGGGGGAGCATAAGTTTACCTTACGCTTATCATCACTATTTAACAGTGATAAATATACACACAATTGTGTTACCGAGATTTCCTGTGATTTGGGAAATATTGGGATCGTGTAATGTACATTTCGCGGTCACTACAGGCCCTCATAGACAACATCAGTGTGTAAATCATAAAATAACTATTAGTAATCTCGACCTACTGATCTAAGTTCATTCATATCTGTAAGAAATGGACACAATAGACAAAAGGTCAAACAAGGTGTAATCTCAAGACCAGTGAAGCAAAGAAATCTACGGGACATATCAGAGAATAATTTCCTCATAGCCTGGAGGTGTGTTTAACACCGTCAACCAAGTCCTACTGGTTGTGTATATGTAGGTCGCTCAAATCTCAATATTGTGAATCAGAATTCTGAATTCAGATTAATATCACCCATATCTCCATATAATCAACATATCACGGTCGATTGATGGTCAGTGAATTTCTCTACTACTCGTAGGAGAGTGAGTAGGTATGGCTTGTAGCAATATTCCAGCAATATCACAGCGGGGGACACCAGAAATAGGTTTCAAACACTGTACCTTTGTGGGGAATCGAACCCGGGTCTTCGGAGTGACGAACGAACGCTTTAACCACTTAGCTACCCCACCGCCGTAGAATAGTGAACACTGATAGGGGTTGAGAGCGGGGTAATATAGGCAGGATACATTCTCAAACTAAACAACTAGAACGATTTATTTTACACATCACGTTATCTATCAGAGCCTACCTGCACAAAGCGCTGTAGTCACAAGTCTACTGTTTGAGGGGGCGGTGGGGTAGCCTAGTAGTTAAAGCGTTCGATCGACACGCCGAAGACCCTGGTTCGATTCGCCACATGGGTACATAGAGATTACTAAACTAGTGTCTGTCAGATACCATTTATCTTACAACGAGTTGTTTCAAAACGTATTTAACGAGCGAAAGCGAGTTAAATACGTTTTGAAACAACGAGTTGTAAGATAAATGGTATCTGACAGACAGGAGTACAGTAATCTGTTTCTTACACACCATAAAATCGCACCATTTTATGGTAGAATAGATTCAAATTTCATGTTTTCTCATCGTAGGTGCGCAATAATACACAACACATTTATGAATGAGTGACGTCACTTGGCTTCCTTATCACTACTCATCCCCATGGTGACCCTCCACAAAAAGGTTTCTGCCACCTCTTCGCATCATCAAGGCAATGGTGATAATGATATCTAGATAAGATCACAGAAAATTAATTAAACCCTCTAAAACGACGATGTTACCATGCAAATGTGGATGATTTTAATTCTTGCAAGCGTAAAATATTTGAGCGAGTGACGTCATCGTTATCGCTTGGTGGTTGTCGTCATCGGACGATTGTTTTGTGTACATGCAACCATAAACTTCCCATAGAAACTGGGAGATGGCAAAATATACCAAAAGAACACAGAGTTTGTAACTAATGTGACTCACATTTGATCGGAGATGAGTTCCACTATTTGTTTAAATGTAATTATTTTGCAGACATACGTAAATCGTTGTTAAAAGAACCTTATAGTTCCTGGCCAAATTTATCGAAATTCCGTCAACTGTTTTCAAGTAAAATATCTACCCTTAAAAATGTATCCAAGTTCATCAAGATTGTTTGCAAACACTTTAATTGTTGCATCATTTAGTCATCTTGTTGTACATATTGTATGTAACATACTCCTTTGTTATACTCATGTACCACCGATGGTGGATTATTTTGAGTAATAAAAACGTGTGATGTATCTCCGCACATTGGGGATCTGTACTTGTGTACCAGTTTACGTTCAATGTTCTCCCATCGACCGGAGCCAAAACTTTTGAGTGTGTGTAATTAGGTACACCCAGTGTGCTTGAATGTGACATTGCTGAGGTTACGTTCACTGTCTATGGGGGACTACTCTTCTTCGCCACATCCTTCTCGTTTTCCCGAGCCAAAACCTGCCACTTGGAATGTAATGGAATTTACGGAGTTTTCAGTATGAAATGTGAGTTGATTACATCCTGTAAGTTATCAAGACATAAACTTTTCATTATCATGCGTCGGAGGAATATCTTGAGCAATGACTTATGTGTAGATGAACCGTGCCTGTACATGTTCGATTAAATAGAAAGGACGTGTGCCGCCATTTGCACTCATGAAGCCTTGCAAAACGTACCATGTCGTACATTGTTTCAACGAGTGTGTTTTGGTTCTGATTGTCATGAGTGAATTTGATAACATTGGAATCACATAGTATCTCGGAGCTGGAAGTGGGTCTTCATCATGTGTATCAGTGAAAAATGTCACCTTCATCAATGCATCAAAGAAACAACGAGGCAAATCGATCTCACAATGGACAGGCACTGACGTTATTGTGTCAGGTATTTTTGCAAGACGACACATGACACTTGTCGCATCTCTCCAGTAAAAGTACCAGTGTTGTACATTTTGAATATTCGAAGGGAATCAAGGGCTTTATCTCTAACGGTGATTTTCACATAATTGTGACTCATTGTATAAATACCTGTTTATGTTGCAATCGCGAAAATAACAGGTAGGTGTAAAGGGGTATTTTTTGCATGAGTAACAGGTTTCTGTTCGATTGAAGCACGAGTAACTTATCAATGAAGGTTAATCAGGAAAGTAGTCCGTCATAACCTGACCCTAGGTCATCACCATGGAGTAGCAAATCACGGGATTAGAAATCGATCTCACACATATGTGTGATACCAGTTTTCTCACATGGGTTTCTCACCCACGTATGTGTAAGAAAATGTGTGAAGCAATATTCCAGCAATATCACGGCGGGGGACACCAGAAATGGATTTCACACATAGTACCCACCGCCCCCAAACCATTTACTAACATGATGTGTAAACATTCGAGTCAGGGCACATGCTCTGACAAACCAGTGTTCGATATTATGAGCAGCGAGCAACTCAGTCGGGTACATGTCTTACGACATTCTAGTGGAAATTACCACTGTTCTACAACTATACGTACAGAATACCCTTCCGAGTGTGTATGTGTTACAGAAAGACCACGACAGTGTTTGTGAGGTAACGCAGCCTTGTCTACTAGGAATAGTGTTCAAACAGTTCAGTTCAAATAAGCATAGATTTTGAGTATTTATCAACGCCATTACACGCACCTGCACAACTGCCAAGTATCAAACACTCCGTTACATCTGAAGGTGTTAAACTAAATATGACTGAAATGGGGCGCTACTTCTATAAACTGAAAGAATTCACCCATCCTAACATAATACTCGGGTCATCAGTCTTGAAATTCCTTTGACAGATACCTTTTATGAGAGCTCTATTACGTATATAGTCTCCTCGCTATACAGCGTATTTACTGTTCACACGCTCCAAAAAGCACAAACTCTTAAAGGTTTCAAAAAACGTTGGGATTTCATATATTGTTTGTTTCCACCAGAACTGAGTCTGCACCTTGGTTATATGGCCTGATGACTGGGCATTAAAGATAGGGTTGAATGCCATCCATGAATGCGGTCGAGTGTTAATTGGCGTCCAAGCAGGGCTGACCTGGTCAGTTTCACGATACCCGAAATATGTGAGCTCACCCGTTTAAAACGCCTAACAAGTGCTCTCAACCGTGAACCTCAGATACCTCATGTGAGTTACTCAAGAATCACATAATGTCAATGAGTAGTAAAATAAAGTTTCAAGCTCCGATGAAACAGGCCGATGATACCATTAGGCATCGTTATAACGTGTTATAACAGTGACGAGTTGCGTTATAAAGAGAACATCGATCGGTTACGAAACGGTTATTTCAATGTTATCAACCACAGCTTGTCAGTGTTGTATTCAGCAGCAATAACCCACATATACCACAAATAAATTAACATCGGGATGAATGTGTTTGCGATGATAAGAAACCCCGTGAATGACAACAAGAACAGACTATTGATTTCCGCTGCTTTACTCCCAATATTTGTGAAATACCACAGTAAAAGCGTGACACTGGACTTGATTCTCAACAGACAACCGTAAAGAATGTGGCAGCTATATAAATACACCGTTTGCCAGCGTTATATTCAACCATTCACATAACAATACCACAACACAGCTGGTAATGGCGTTCTATCGTCATGGTCAATGTTGTGTGTAACTATGATGTTAGGTCACTCACTTGTAAAACCCTTTCTCGAGGGTCTCGATGATGGCGTTGCTAATTCTCTTCAGAATCCCATGTTTCTTGGGAGCCTTGTCCCTCGCTAACTGTTCCCTGCTTCCTGAATTCATTTTGAAGGAAGATGATCCAGTTCACCATAAACGCAGCTCCGACCTAGCCGACACACCTGGTCGCTTCGGCACACCTGTAGACAATGTTACAACGCGATGTACGTTATTACAGGTAACGTGATCTCTCAGTCAAATTAGCCGAGTCACTGTCATAGCAACACACGGACGCCTCCACCTGGTTCTCTCACATCTGGCCTTGGTCCAGTCTCTAGCAATATGAACGGGGTTCACGATGTATTGAAGACAGATCGATTGATTGTATCGCGCCGTTTGGCTGTGACCGATCTCTGGATAGTCACGTGATGAGCCACGTGACAACAAGGACGCCTGCACGTGTACTGTCGATATATGAGTATGTATTTTTTACGAGGGGTGTTAACTGGATTAGCTATGGTTAATCGGATGAGCGAAGGTTATGCAACATGGAAACATGTGCTTCACGGATAACTGGACCAGTTTTTGGACAGGCAGTTAAGCCAGCCCGTCTGTTTACAACTGCTCATCCGTGTATGAAGCCAGGGTTGGGTCTATACAAAGTCTATACAATACATGAAGTAGTTATGAGGCTGTCGTATATTTGTGAGCATGAACAAGCCTCTGTAAATATGCAACCCTTATATCGATCTATTCATATGCCCATTTTGACATTTAAGCTATCATACTGAACGTTTACGTCAACAACGAATTGGTATCGATTTTTTTCCTTTATATAACTACCGAACTAGATGAACTGTTTCCTCAATGCTTGGCCAATGAAGCGAAATCTAGAGGTCAGAAACTGGGACGAGGAGATGAACTAATAATTTGAAAAGAAATTACAAGCGTACGCTTTATGTGTAAATGGTACCTCCACTTCCTTGTGAAAACTAAACTGACATGTTGTTGTTGTTGTTGTTGTTCGGATGAACTATTTCTCAAATGTTGTAAAGTCAAAGGGAACGGAATCACAGCAACTTGGACTAAATAATTTGCATTCATATTAGAATAAATATAATCATTTCTATTTCCACAGACTAAACGTATACCCAGCTATGTGGAACACAGATTCTCTTTTGACACCAAAGGAGGGGATGAAAAATGACCATTTATCGTGAAACCCTTTGGCAAATTACATAACATCTGTTGTAGCGCTTATGACCCTTCATATACTATTCACACTTTGCTAAGGATCAAATCATGGATTCAACAGGAAACTATGATGTGGGGTCAAGTTTGGTTTAAATGCTAGTATCTAAGCCTATTGTAAGCATGGATTTAAGTTTTCAGTATGTCACTGCATCTTGTGGATCCCATACCTGCTGTTGACAGGTGATTTGTGTTTGTCAATGACCCGTGCCATGATTTGCAAAATGGTTGATTGGTGCCATGAAAACCATTTTTTATGGTTACTCATGTATCAAGTGCATACGGTGAGCTTAAAGTGGCTGTTTTCCTAAAGATGTGTTACAATATCATTATTTATCCAGTTTTAATTGGATACAATTTCAAATTATAAATCTGCGTTTAAGTAAATTTGCGAATTTTTGTGATCCTTAGCAAAGTGTGAGTAGTATACTTTGAATCTGGAACCAAACGCGAGAGTGAGTGAGTTAATTAGTTTCACGTCGCTTTTAGCAATATTCCAGCAATATCACAGCGGGGGACACCAGAAATGGGCTTTACACATTGTACCCATGTGACGTGAGGAATCGAAGCCGGGTATTCGGCATGAGGAGGCAACGCTTTAACCACTAGGCTACCCCACCGCCCCCGAAACGCGAGAAAAAAAACAGTTGGGATACCGATGGGGGATAAAACAGGTTGATCAGAAACAACGTTTTTCCGAGTATTACGCCGGTTTTGTAATTGAGTGAGTGAGTTTAGTTTTACGCCGCACTCAGTAATATTCCAGCTATATGGCGGCGGTCTGTAAATAATCGAGTCTGGACCAGACAATCCAGTGAGCAACAGCATGAGCATCGATCTGCGCAATTGGGAACCGATGCCATGTGTCAACCAAGTCAGCGAGCCTGACCACCCGATCCCGTTAGTCGCCTCTTACGACAAGCATGGGTTACTGAAGGCCAATATTCTAACCCGGACCTTCACGGGTTGTTTTGTAATTGACCTGAGTATAAGACTGTTTGTAGCTATGTAATAAACCTTTTTAACGGCAGCAACTGTCTCTTCTACACGTGTTCACTGCGTTAAGCGTTTTAATCATCGACTCTTCTATTCAATGCATATGTTCACACCGAAAGCGTCACTCTGTAAATGATCAGAATTCTAATTTTGTTCATCATTATTTCCATTTAGACATCCGAGTATTGACAAAACGGCTTTGTAAAGAAGATAGGACATTTTATCAACTTTACTGCTTATTATAGATATACACGAAAATACTGAATATATCACTCACATCAAAATATTACCCAGTATCCCAATTGTCGTATCGTTTATGAGTGAGTGAGTGAATATTGCTTAACGCCGCATCGCTATTCGCGGCGATATCGTTTATGATCCTTCATATTTTATTTTAGCGAATATAAATTTCCACTTACCTTATCTCTAGATAAAAAAAACACAGTATGTTTATCTGCCGAATGGGATACACTCATCCCTGTGTTGAGTGTAGTGATGTGTGAAAATCACTATTCTTTGACAACAGAATTTATATAAGAGGTTACCGATTGCGATTTGAAATTTCTCTTCAGGGATCCGGAGTGATTAGAGTCCCAGTTTACACTGTGACGTAGCTTTATGATGACGTCACAATGCAACGTTAAAACACTGTTCTCATGACGTCACTTTAAAATGTCAATGTTAAATACAATGTTCATATTCCTGTTTACCTATTCAAAGATCGACACAACGTTTTATTGAAATATAATGTTTTCCTTAGCCTTACGTTGCAATGTATCAGGGTCTATATATATGTATGTGTATGTGTATATATATATATATATACTCATGCCAATAATGGTTGTCACCCCCTTCAATTTTTTTAATTGGCGAGGGGAAGTGGGGGTGAGGTGTGTGTGGGGGTTGGGGGGGGTCACAACCATTATTGGTAAAGACAAATAATTTCACGCATCATACGTTTTCCCATCTGTCTCAGTTTGACGAGTATTCAGAATAGTTTACTTCTCCTAAGAAAGTATCTTAAAATTTGAAGCCCTATATACTTTCTTTCCATTGGCTGAACGGTTCCACATGCATACATCGAAGCCCTACAGCTGGCGATACAGTCACTTTAGTGTATAAGTTAGGAGATAAACATCATGTGTTGGCCAATTTCCGGGTGTTATTGAGCATTTGAAGCACGGGAATTCGTTTGGAACCGACGGGGTTAATTGGCCAACACATGATGTTTATCGACATTGTAAACACAAAATTTAAGCAAATCAAAAGGCCCACAAGGGTTTTACTGTCTGCACTCATTGACATCGAGTACGGGTACAGCAGTGAAGTGTCATCAGCTGGCCGTTTCAGCTTTTCCCATGGTAGCATCTGGAACTGCTCATTTGTGACGTCATTCCGACTTTACGTCACAATATGATTTGAATGACGTCACCACTGCCGACGATGCAACGATACAATATTGTGTGCGATATTTGTACGTGTCAATATGCAGCGAATAGTCTTGCAATTTCCGGGAATCGAATATATCATGTTTTTCAACCAATCAGATTCAAGAACACGGTGACTTTTGGTTTACAATATGTATTGTCATCCACCTCATGTCGCAGAAGTTCTGGAATATCTAGTAGAATATCTATAAAACTATGCAAAACAGTATGAAGAGTGCAAAGAAGTTCAGTCTGCTCTTTTTCAGAATAAGCGCGTGAAAGGGGGTAAGAGCATATTTTATGAATGGGACTCTTGTTTTCCTATTAATGACGATATCGTCTGGATCAGGTAACGAGGTCAGATAAACACGATTAAGATTTGAAAATGCACATTCTCTAGATCTGGATCTATTTATGACATATGAGCTGCCATTGAAGTTTGTGAGTGACATTTTCACTGTTATACCGTAGTGAATAAGCTGGTATCGACGTTGATCGAAGTTGTAACTTTGATTTACAGAGACTGATTGACAGTCGCTTCATTTGTAAGTTGTTCAAGACGCAGACAGAGTTACGTCCCTTTGAGCGATTCGTGATCAGTGGATGACCCATCTCGGTCAAAAACATTCTGTCCAGAACTATGTGTTTGAAAAATATTTTGACAACATTTGTTTTAGGACATAGGACATCATTATGGGGTAGCCTAGTGATTTAAGCGTCCGCTCGTCATGCTGAAGACCCGGGTTCGATTACCCACGTGGGTACAATGTGTGAAACCCAATTCTGGTGTCCCCCGCCGCGATATAATAAACTGACGGGCAAAAGTTAGTATATGACGTTTTGAACGTCCTGTAACAAAGACATACACCGAAATTCCCCAAAAATATTTAATGCATCATAATAAAAAAACACTTGAGCTGTAAATCACAAAAAATCAACAATTTCATGCAAGGAGTTTGTGAGCCGCTGTCAAGTAAACACGCAAGGGGTGGAATTTTGCATAAATCGATTATCACAATCTGAGTTTATGAGTCAGTAGCAGGGGCATTCCTTGAATACAGGATCTTGTGCACATCAGTATCGTGTGTGACCCCCTGCTGCGTCAATGCATGCCCTCACACGTCTCCTCATTGACGTCGTCAAACGTCGAATGACGTCATTGGGAATGCGGTTCCATTCCCTCTGAGTGCTTGCTCTAGCTGTTGCCTGTTCTGTGGAACTTGTTGCCGACCTCTGATCTTCCTGTCCAGATGATCCCAGAGGTGCTCGATCGGGTTCATATCCGGTGAGCACGCTGGCCAGGGCAGGACGTCAACATTGTTCTGTTGCAGAAAGTAGCGAGTCTCTCTGGCAGTGTGAGGTCTCGCGTTGTCATGTTGTAGGAGTACACCCCGGGTTGATTCTGTAGGAAGGGTACCACAACTGGCTGTAGGATCTGTCCGATGTACCCCGTGCATTGAGATTGCCCTGCACTACAACCAGACGGGTCTTCTGGTCTCCACAGATACCGCCCCAAACCATGACTCCACCCCGCCGAATGGATGAACTTCTCTGATGCATGGCCTTGCTAAACGTTCCCTCGTCGACGATATACCCGTTCTTTGCCATCACACTTGTAAAGGGTGAAACGGCTTTCATCGGAAAAGAGAACACGTCGCCAATCTCGGACTTGCCACCTGTATACTTGCCTTGCCCACCGCTGTCTGTTTTGGCGATGTCTGAGGGTCAGGACCATTCCGTGGAAAGGCCGGTAAGCCCTTATACCAGCTAATCTCAATCTTCGGGTCACTGTGCGACGACTGATACGATGCCCGAGTGCCGTAGCCGCCGTCGACGTTGCCGTCACGAACCTGTTCCGGAGATGGATAGTCCGGATGTAGCGGTCTTCTATGGGTGTAGTGACCCGTGGCCGTCCACTTCTCGGCCTGTCTTGAGTGCTA